AAATCTTGTTTTGGGTTTGTGACCCAGAAGGTTTTTGTGTTGTGGTAATAGTAAATTTAGTTTTGTTGTAAGAGTAATTTTGTATTTTGATTAATTTTTATTTTGACTTTTTTGAAAGTGGACTATTTTTTTAAGACAATATTTTTTTATTAAATCGATCTATTTTTGTCGGACGAATGGAGTATCTATAAAATTAACCATTGTTCTCGAGCAGCATGTGGGAAGTGAAATCTATAATGAAGTCATAACCCAATATTTACTTCCTCGCTGCCGAACGCAATTCCAAGTTAACTTTCTCATTGGAATTGGGAATTAAATAATTAAAACGGAAAAACATGATTATTATTGAATATGATTGGATGGTGACTAATTATCAATCATGTTCCTATATTTCTACTCATGATGTTGTATTATCTCGTTGAGGATTATGGTAATTGACTTACTCACTGCATTGAACAAAATTAGGATAATCATTGAACATATTTTCATATTCGGATTAAATTTTATAATATTCGAGGAGTATTATATTTAGTTGTAAAAATAGAATTGGTATTGAACTCAAACGACCATGGATATAAAAAAAAAATACTCCTGAATTCATCAACTGCCTTCACGAAATTACGTACTGGGAGCATCAGCAACAACAAAAGCACCCCATGAAGAAATAACTTAAAATGGCTTGATGATTACTAGCTTTGAATCTTCCAATGTATTAGAGAGAATAAAGCAAATGAAATAGATAATGTTAATGTTAGCATTTTGTTTAATTAATGGGACTTATAGTTGGGAGTCTACTAATTAGGTTTTCTTTTAGTTGAAAAAAAAAATTATTTGTTTAACCTATGGGTTGACTTTAAAATAACTCATACATGATTAACTTATCTAATTTGTTGCACCAAAAAAGAAAATTATCTAGTTTTTGTTCTCTTATAACATCAAATGCGTACGTTACTTGTCCTAATGGCCTTTATCTTGGAAGAGTTAGTTGTAGAGCAATTATGACTTTTTCCTGTAAAAATAACATAGGGTATTACTTTTCGCAGTTCAGAAATTACTCACCTGCAGTTCGTTTTTGACGATTTTGCCCCTAAATCTTTTTTATTCTCCCTTTCTTCTTCGCCATCCTCATTTCTTCTTCTTCTTTCTATTTTTCTCTTTCTCCAACTTCATTTTCTTCTTCCTTTATATCAAATTTTAAATCCAAATTTACTAAAAATCGAAGTTTAAAAAAATGCCGGAACAATACACACAACAACGAGAAGAAGTACCATCAATACCGGTAAATTTTTTGGTCCCAAATCCTATTTAAAGAAAAAAAAAACTGACTGCCAGGCTGGCCGACCAGACCGGCCGGTTACTATTGAATGATTGGTTGGTCCCTGACCCGGCCAATCTTCTACCCTTGGCCGGATTTCTCACCGGCCAAGGTACCCAGGCTGAACGCCGGTCGGGTCGGCCAGCCTTGGCAAGCAGTTTTTTTTCTAAAATTTTTTTGTGGTTTTTTTTTTAAATTTTTTGTTTTAATTTTGTTGTTATAATTAATTTAGTTAAATTTATTTATAATTAATGTAATTAGTTATTGTATTATTGTTTGATTAATGTAGTTAAATTTATATATAATTAATGTAATTAGTTGTTGAATGTTGTGTTATTATTTTTATATGTCATTTCATTTTTTTAGTGCATTAGTAACATGTTTAATTTAAATTATTAGGTATAATTTTTTTAATTTAATAATTAGTGTCTGTTAGGTATGTGGTATATATTTGTTTAATTTAATTAAATTTATAGTAGTATGTGGTATTTAGCTTTAATAATTAATTATTATTTACGTAACTGAATTAGTTATTTTGTTATGTATATTGTATTTTTTAAAATTTTATATATTTTATTTAAAGGATTATGGTGGTGACGGTGTTGATTACAGTCGTCCTTTTGATACTAACATAAGATTCACAACTATTAAAGCCGCTATGCTATGGGCGAAAAAGACTGCCATATCTCTTAATTTCACAGTGGCTAAGGCGTTGAAGACAGATGAGACTAAAAAAATTATTACGATGTCCAAAGGGTGTTGCCCCTAGAGATACAGAGAATCGGGTGCGAGAAACAAAGGCGCAGTATTGTGGATGCCCGTTCCGACTTCTAGCCCGAATTCGCCCAGGCGAATCTACTTTTGGGATTCGTTCATGTCCCAGTCGTAATGGTATGCATAACCACCTGTTTGGCAGCTTTGAGGAGGGACAGATGCAGATGAGCGGCCTTAGTGATAAATCGAAGGAAATTGTTGACGAGTTGACTGCCATTAATGTAAAACCGTCTGCAATGTTGCGCCCGATTCAGCAGAAATGCCCGGACGAGTACGTTGTGATCAAACAGATATATAACTACAAGAGTAGGATGCAGGTGGAAAAGAGAAGGGGTAAAACGTCGGTGGATCACTTCTTTGACATTACTCAGCAACACAAGTATGTGATTAATACGGCTAATGAAAAAGGTGTGTCGAGTCATATTTTCTGTGCACATCCAGTATCTGTAGAGTTGATCCGAGCATACTCGTGGTATATTGGCATGGATACTACTTATAGAACAAACAAGTATAATATGCCGCTGTTACAAATTATTGGGATGACTCCAACCAACAAGAATTTTTTTATTAGATACGTAATTATGAAAGGATAGGAAGAAGGAGAGTTATACTTGGGCATGTCAACAGTTTCGGGATATGATTGGATGGGAGGTGCACCCGTATGCCATAGTGACAGATAGGGAGTTAGGGCAGGCAAAACCAATCAGTTTGATATTTCCAGATTCTGCACATCTTCTGTGCGTGTGGTACATCAACAAATGTGTTTTTGAAAATGCACGGCAGCATTTTGGAAAGAAATTCATGAACTGAAACTTCAAGCTCCTACTGAGTACCTTCATGAAATGGTTGTGATTAATATGTCGTACTACAGGCACCCAAATGCGAAAAGTTATGGAGAGTTGGTGCATTATGTGAAGACCACTTGGCTAGTTCACAAGGAGAAGTGGCCTCGTGCATGGACAAATGGGGTCACACATCTTTGAAACACAAGTAATTGTAGGGTGGAGAGCGTCCATAGTTCCATGAAGAGGTTTCTTGACTCGGCGACCAGTCACCTAGTTACAATATGGACCAGAATCCACGCAGCGATAAAGTATTAGTTAACTGAGATCAAGTACGTAATTCATTCGTTGTTTGATTTTGTTTTTAATACTTAATTACCAATGTTCTTAAATTAACAGTGAGGAATTTAAAATATAGGTTCCGTCTAACTGAATCAGAACGTCGTTCGAGGAGGGAGCACCTTCAGTTTCCCTCTGACTGTCTAGTTAGACATGTCTCACATTACTGTTTCGACATTCTTCAAAGTGAGTATATTCGCATGCAGCAATTGGGTGAGGTTGATTTTTATTGGTTGTGTGTTGAGAACGACCCATGAAATCTCTTGTGCATGTGAGCTTATAGAAAAGGGAGTTGCAGGTGCCCATTACAGTTGCTGATCTCCACCCTTTTTGGTGCAGATTTAATTTTACAAGTGTGACACCTAATTCAGTCCCAAGTGATGATGCTCAACCTTTTGTGTTAGAAGAGTATACGATTTTTACAAAGCTTTCCCTTAAGGTATTCAACAAGAGGCCTGGATTTTTGAGCCGCGTCAATGAGTTTTTGCACAATGAGCTGGAAGAAGAGGAACACCATGAGCAGATGAGTTTCGAGGAACAAGAGCAACACCATGATCAGATGAGTTTCGAGGAACATCCAGTGAATACTAGTGTTAAAGGGCGCCTGAAAGCGAATATCCCGCGGAAACAGTGTTATTGGGAGAAGTATACTGTTGGTTCAGGGAGATCGCGCACGAGCACATCCTCGCCTATATACCATAATAGTCGTAAGAATGTTTTGTATTTATTTTTTTTCTTGATGTCACATTTTATTTTTAAACATTTTGTTTCGGCAATGTACATAACGTGATTGTGCATCAGACGATCCGGACTGTTATCAGGATTTGAGACATTCCACCATCCAGGTCGGGATCGGTCAGGAGCCTCAAAGGGACCGCCCCGAGGTGGTCTGAAACATGGAAAGTACACATATATCTACGCCTGAAGTAGTGTGTAGCAACCAGACAATTGAGGCATTTTTCAATCTGGTGGACACGCCTAGCTGATAGTAGAGATAGACTAGAGTAGCAGACCCCCAAGAAATATTGCCACAGGTGACTAGGCCATCAATAAACTTGGAGAGAATAGCCGCCCTAATCCGAGTACCGCTCTGTCGGTAAACAATGTGTTCCCTAACATGACCCATAACAGGCGGTCACCTGATCTAAGGCAAGCGTTGCCGCTTGGCCTATCTTCTCAACAACGCTCGACTGAACCCCTCCACCGTGGATTACTTTACTAGTCTGTAGCATCTGGCTAGTCATTCTCAGCGCCCTCATGACCAAAGTCTTATAATCGACAGTCCCAGGTTGTGCTGTAATCAATCTACCTTTAACTGGAATACCCAATATCTGTCGCAAGTCGTGTAACATGATGGTCATCTCCCCAAAATGCATGTGAAACGTATTGGTATCTGGCTGCCACCTCTCTACAAATGCAATGCCTTATCAATGTTAGTGTGCATGATGTCCACAATGTGGCATAGCCCTGTACCAGCCAACAAGATCTGAGCCTCAGACGACATAGAACCCTTCCATTCTTTCAACAACTAGAAGTATGTGACTCTTGTATCCATCTCCAAGGAGGGTTTGTACGACTTATCCGTCAAGCGATGGGCCACATGACCAAGAAAACTAGGAATAACAGAACCCTCATGAGGGCCACCAACAACTGGTCTCGTGACAACCCAAGGCTGGGCATTACTCTCTGAAATTAACGTATGCAAATCTTTCAATTTTTTCCCTATAAAATATTTGAAAAAACTTAACTACTAAAATATAAAATATAAACCCCATACAATAATTTCTTACGTGTTGATGATGATGCAGTTGCAGATGCAGATGTTGATGCAGATGCAACTCCAAGTCCTCTAACTCTAAGACGAATAACTTTACTTCGTCTAGCTGGAGGTGAATGTGGAGGTGAATATAGAGGTGAATGTGGAGGTGAGTCACCTCCGAAATCATTAAACCCTTCCGAATCGATATCTTCAGTCGGGATATCATCATTGTCACTCACATTCTGTAAGTACAAACTGGCATGATCAAATACATCGTCAAGTCTTACACTACTACAAGCCTGAACCATCTGCGACTCACCCTTTGACATATGCCCAGTTGAACTCCCACGACGATATGAGGCAGAAATAATTCGACCATGCATGTCCCGTGTACCCGACTCAAGCAACAATGAAGAATCAGGTATATCTGGCCTTTTCTTTTTTCTCCTTCGAACCTATATTAAATTATACCTAAACCTAAAGATTCAAATATAAATTAAAATAAATTCAATTAAATTAATGATACATATTAAATTTATACATTTTTAATGGAATATAATTAAACTAATTACAAATATAATTAAATTTATTACAAAACTAATTAAATTTTTCCCTTTCATTATAAATTTATACAAATCTAATTAAATTAATTACAACTAATAACACAACATTCAACAACTAATTACATTAACTATAAATAATTTAACTAAAATAATTATAAAAAATTTAAAAATAAAAAAATTAAAAAAAAAAACTGCCCCGGCTGGCCACCGTTCTCTAGGAACCTTGGCCGGATTTCTCACCGGCCAAGGAATGTGGATTGGCCTGGTCAGGGACCGGCCAATCCTTGAAGAGTGGCCGACTCGATGGCCGGTCACTCTTCAAGGATTGGCCGGTCCCACATCTCTTGGCCGGTGAAAAAAAAAACGACCATGGTTCCCGGGCTAGCCAGCCAGGGCAGCAACTTTTTCTAAACAAAAAATTTTTAAATACAATTTGGAAAAAAAAAATTTACCGGCATCGATGGTGAGATTTCACGTTGTTGACGGCCGCGTTCTTCCATTTTTTTGGTGTCCGATTATTAGTAGATCTAGATTTGAAGAAGAAGAAGAGAAGAGGAAGGAGAAGAAGAAAGAACAAAAGAGAAAGAAGAAGAAGAGATGAGGAAGGAGGAAGAAAATAGTTCAGGGACAAAATTGTAAAAAATGAATTGCAGGTGAGTAATTTTTGAACTGCGAAAAGCAATTTAGAAAAAAGATAATACGATAAAATGGATTATTTTCTAGAGATTAAGAGTGTGTGATTTAAGAGTATGGTGTACACTTCTTCATTTTATTTTATTCTTTTGAGCTACCATAATTAGTTAATAATCAAAAAATAAAAATTGATTTTATAAATGTCCTTTTTATTTTTTAGTTATTAACTAATTTAAAAACAAAAAGGAGGAGGTCAAGAGTTCAAACCCCTACTCCAACAAGAGTGAGGGAATCACTCTAACCTTGCCCATTGGCACCTTTAGAGGACTTGTTATGGCAAACCCATTCATGAACCCCCAAATTCGTACCCGAGCTTGTGACCCGAGCTTGCCTAGGGTGGCTACCTCCAACTTTGGTTTGTAGGCTATTGCAGTGGCGTGGGTGTACCCATCTGTGGTGAGGTTTCCGGCGCTACCAAAAAAAAAATAATAAATCAATAATAACTAAAGTGAACGTTTAAAATTTTATAAATAATCTTTCATAAACTATAGCGGGAACGGAAGGTTCTTCCAAAATCAATGAAGGTCACTAATCATCATCATTACCACATTAAATTTTTCATTTCAAATTAAAAAGTATAGGGCAAAAGATCTCCTATACCATAATCTTACACCACTTTCTACGTCACTCACTAAGATTGGCGCATGGTCTTTGTTCCAACGGATTAATCCAATAATCGATTAGGGTGTTAGTAAACTTTTAAAAAGAGAAATTAATAATTGAATACAAAAACGGATCCGGCTGGATATATGAGAATTTTAATTTACCCTTATTGGGCTTCGATATATACCTTGTATTAGGACTTCAATTGTTTAAAGGAGCCTTGTCCAACCTCTTCTGACCTGAGAGAGTGGTGTTAAAATCTCTTTTAAACTTGAAAACAAGTGAAAGACACTTGTCGCACATTGAAAATGGTAACCCAATTTGACCAACATATGTACTCCATGTGGTACTCTCATGATTGTCAATTGGTTTCGAGGTGGAACCACATCTAGGCTTATATGAACTTTCAAGACAATGTTTTGAATAATCTAGCTTTGGAGATTTTATTTTTTACAATATACGTCAAACTACAGGAGTACGTAACCTAGCTCATGCGTCGAATTGATTTATTAATTCTTTTTCCACAACAAGGGAAAATCATAACTTAATTGTCATTGCTCGTAATCGTTTTTCAGGGTATCAGAGTGGTTCGGGAAGCATCCGTTTAGGTACTAAGAAACAAATTATTATAGTATTATTGATTGATGCTACTAACTAATTAAGCTACCATCTTTTAAAACATAAGAGATTATTTTTTATCTCTCGGATCTCTCTAAAATTCTGAACCCTAGTTTTGTCCGAACATGGTGGCGGCTCCAAAGCCGCCGGATAATGGCCGGCCAAAACAACATTCATTTGCGCAAATCCTCAATTTCTCTAAGCCAAATCCTAGGAGCATCAATCAGCCGGTTGAGAAATCAACTCCTGAAACATTTATCAAATCTAATCCGTCAATCGTGAAGGGCGAAGCAGCCTTTTTGCTATCGAAAGAAGAGGATGAAAAGCTTGCAGAACCGTTTAAGTTCAGTCTAGTTGGAAAATTTTCAAGGGGAAGACCGAAGATGGAGTATTTGTGGAATATGTTCAATGTGATTGGTTTCAAAGGCAGATTCTCATTGGGAATGACATATCATAGGCACATTTTGATCTAGATTGATTTAGAAGAGGATTTCCAGAGATGTTGGTTTAAGGGACTCTGGTCCTTTGATCATCACATCATGAGGGTGCTTAAATGGAACCCGAGATTTAACACTGAGCTGGAATCATCAATCACCTCGATATGGGTGTCATTTGAAGGTTTACCGGTGTACCGATTTAACGAAGAATATCTCCGAAAGGTTTCAAATATCATTGGTCAGCCGCTCAAGATTGACGTTCCTACGTTAAATATGTCTCGTCCTTCAATTGCTAGGGTTTGTGTGGAAGTGGATCTCCTTCATGAATTGCCGAAGCGGATTCTTCTAGGTACTGAGGAGTATTTGTATTATCAATATGTAACGTATGAAAATCTCCCGGAATATTGCATGGAATGTTGCAAAATTGGGCACTCTTCTCAGAATTGTAGACATGGGAAACCTAAGGAGGAGTCGGCGAAAGAAAAGGAACGGAAGGTGATGATGCCTTCGAAACCTGTGACTAGGGTTAACCTAGTGTCTCAACCTGAGACTAAGGCAAATTCAGTGTCTCAACCGACTATGGGGAAAGCTAAGTTTCAGCCTGTGACTAAACAATCTAAGCAAGCAGAAGGAAACAAGGAGTTGACTGAAACATCAAACCCGAAACACACAAAGGAATCAGTTATAGAACAGGAAATAAAGCAGAATAAGGATGCGTCTTCATCAGGACTCTCTGAATTGGAAAAAAAGAATATCCCTACAGATATCGGGGATTCAAGTCCTATGGAATCAAGAGATAAGCGACAGCTTACTAAGGAAAAGCTGAGTGCAATTCTGGAAAAAAGTTCGGAGGAAGAAAATCTACAAGATACATGGGAAGAAGATGATGTGGTTTCTACTTATGGGAATGAGAACCGGCAACTTATTGTATACAAAAAGTCTCCCTTTTCGGTTTCTCCTTTTAACTTGTCGTCTCGTTTTGATCTATTAACAGATGTGTCAGAAGATCAGCAAGAAGATATAACTGTCGATCAAGAGAAAGTGCGAGTTGATTTGGATGGTGAAATATCTAGTGATTCTGAAACTGAAATGTATGATTCTGATGAAAGAGTTAATATTTGAAGCCATCTGGTTATAACAAGAGATGATCAAGAGGTTGGTAAAAAAGATTCTGCTACGGAGGTAGCGCGCCTTGTGGTTTCGGATGGAGAAGAACAAAGGAAAAAACGTGGAAGGACGCGAGGGTTGACATAAACGGTTCGCACTTATGGAAAAGAAACTCATCGATCAACGAGATTGCAAGGTGACTCTCCAACCAAAGTATCTCAATGAGTAACATCCTAAATTGGAATGTTAGGGGTATTGGGAATATGGCGTCAATCAAAAGATTAAAATCTCTGATTAAAACGCATGTTGTTTCTTTAGTTATGTTGCAAGAACCAATGCAACCGGTTTTGAAACTTGATGAGTTAAAAGGTAAGCTGCATTTTCACTCGGCTGTATCATCGGTTACAGGGAAGATATGGGTCCTTGCATCCAAAGATTGGGTAATATCAGTGAAAGGGGAACGGATCAAGTTTTACATTTGTAGGTTGAGCACTTGAAGTCTAAGCATTCTTTTTTATTATCAACAGTGTACGCCAAATCGACCAAGCAGGAAAGAAGAGAATTGTGGGCTGAGTTAATTAATTTTATACAGAATAATGTTGTTGAGTCTTGGGCTGTTGGGGGAGACTATAATATCATTCGGAATCTAGATGAATACAAAGGGTCTTCACGACAAGATTTGGGGGCGATAGAAGAGTTTAATGATTTTATTATCAATTGTAATCTGCTGGAACTCCCTTCACTTGGAAATCTATATACGTGGAAGGGCATGCGACAGACGGGACGAGTTCTAAAGCGGTTGGACAGGCTACTTTTTTCTCAAGAGTGGTTGGCATCATTTCCGGTTGCATCGGTACATAATCTAAATAGATCCACATCTGATCATGCTCCATTGTTGCTACAATACAGAGCGGATATGGATGCAAGACCAAGGAATTTTTGTTTTCAAAAAAAGTGGTTTAGAAGGAATAATTTTATTGAGGTTGTTAAGGAAAATTAGGAAGAACCGGTTGAGCAACATGGTATGTTGGGTTTTTCTTTGAAGTTGAGATGGTTGAAAGCATATCTTAAGGAATGGAATAAAGCTGAATTCGGCAATGTTTATCAAAACTTAAAAGAAGAGGAGGAGGAGGTCCGTATCATTCAGGAGCAATATGATCAATCCAATTCCGAATCTGATCGCACTGCTTTGCATTGGGCGCAAGCGCATCTTTTGAATAAGCTGAAAGAGCAAGAAGATTTCCAATCTCAAAAAACTCGAATAAAGTGGCTAACAGGAGGTGATTTGAACACCTCCTTTTTCCATGCCTCATTGAAAGAGAAACAGACGCGCCTTGGAATACATAAAATTCGGAAGTCTGATGGAACATGGGCAACGGAAAAGAACGACATTGAACAAGAAGCAATTTCATTCTTTCAAAATTTGCTTACAAAGGAAGAGTTATCGTATCATGAGGAGGCCAGTCATAGAATTATTCAAAATATTCTGGAGTTAGTCACGCATGAGGAGAATGAAGACTTGTTGCGAATGGTTACTATAGAGGAAATTAAGAATGCAGTATTCAGCCTCGATCCTTCCAGCTCTCCGGGTGTAGATGGATTTGGAGGTGAGTTCTATCAAAGGTGTTGGGATATTATTTGCCATGATCTTAAAGCAGCTTGTGAAGACTTTCTCGCAGGGTCTCCTATGATGCGTGCCATTGGAAGCATTATCATAACCTTGATTCCGAAGAAAGCTACAGCGACTTCCTTTGCGGACTTTAGGCCATTTAGCATGTGTAATTTTCTTAACAAGGTGTTTACAAAGCTGCTTACGCAAGGGTTGAAACCTCTTCTTCCTGGGCTCATATCGGAGGAACAATCAGCGTTTGTTGAGGGCCGCGACATTGTTGATAATATTCTAACTACTCAAGATATGTTGCAATTTCTGGATCATCCTTCTCGAGGGAATAATCTCCTAATTAAAGTCGACATGATGAAAGCTTTCGATAGAGTCTCATGGAGCTTTATACGACGGATCTTAAGTAAATTTGGTTTCCATGAGAGATTTATTTCCCTAATGATGTCAAATCTGGAAAGGAGTTGGTTTTCTGTACTTCTTAATGGGAGTCCTATTGGTTCCTTCAAAGCTTCAAGGGGAATTAAGCAAGGGGATCCTCTTTCCCCTTATTTGTTCATCCTAGTATCGGAGGCATTATCAAAAAATCTCAAAACCTTAATGGAGGAGGGGAAAGTTGCACATTATGGAACACCTGCGGGTTCCCGTATTGTATCTCATCTATGCTTCACGGATGATTTAGTGATCTTCACAAAGGGGCTGAAAAATTCAATGGAAAATTTAAATGAATTTTTCAGGAATTATGAGGCAGCGACAGGCCAAAAAATGAACAAGCAAAAAAGTATGTTCGTTGTCTTGGAATCCATCAGCGAAAGGCAACTAGAAATTATCTCATCCACGCTGCAAATGCCGCAAGGGCAGCTCCCATTTAAGTATCTTGGCTGTACTTTATTCAAAGGAAGAAAGAAGGCAGAAGATTTTCAACATTTACTTGATGCTATGGATGCTAAATTGGGAAATTGGAAGAATCGGTTTTTGTCAACAGAAGGAAGGTTGGTACTTATTAAGCATGTGCCGGTGCATACAATTGCTGCTTTGGTTCCACCAAAATCCATCATTATAGAATTGGAAAAGAAAGGTCAAAAGTTTCTTTGGGGACAGAATGATTTTGGTTCCGGAAAACATTGGAGGGCATGGAGGAAATTAGTCTTTCCGGTTGATGATAATTGTTTAGGGTTCTGGAATTTAGAGGAGTTTATTAAGGCCTTTTCTATGAAATTATGGTGGAAAATTCAGACTCATAAAGGGATATGGGCTGCCTTCATTTCATCTTTATCAGCAACTGTGAAGGGGAAGACGAGCTGGAAACGGGTTGAAGAAGTTGATCATATGGCTAGACCTCTTTGCAGGACAATGATTGAGAATGGATCCTCATCTTTCTTGTTTTCGACATGGCTGGGAATAATCCCTATATGGAGTTTACACAGCCCCCCGCCAATGGTTCGTTTGACTATTCATGAATTTTTGCTTCTAAGTTGTTTTATTTGCAAGTATTTGATGATGTCTTACGTCAAGATGTAAAGGATCAACTTGCAAGAATGGAGATACATTTTAGTGATAGAGATGATCAACTAGAATGGATGCCAGAATCCTCAGGGAGTTTCTCTATCTCTTCGGCTTATTTTTAAATTAGAGAAAAAAAAAAAGAAAAAAATACTATGATTTTTAAGTTTTGGCATAAATGCATTCCTTTGAAAATGTCTTTTTTTTGCATGGAAACTTTACAATGGAATGCTTCCATTCCCTGAAGTTTTACAAAAACTTGGTTTTTGTTCACAGCCTTCTAGGCGTTTCTTTTGTAAGGAAGAGGAGGACAGTATAGATCATGTTTTCTATCAATGTAGTAAACTTCAAAGGATTTGGAATTATTATTCTTCTAATTTAGGAATTGTTGCTTTGTCTTTTGCAGGATGGAAGGATTTGGTGCGAGTTTAGCAAACGATTGGAAATAATTCCTCAGCAAAAAGAACAATAATCATGGCTCTTCCGTTGTTTGTTTTGTGGGAGATATGGAAAAGTCGCAACAAAATGCTCCATGATGGTATGACTTTTTCATTTGAGCTCATTTTAAAAACTATTAACTCTCATATTTTCAGCATGATAAGTGTCCACAAGCTCAAAGCTCGAGATTCAAGAGAACGTAAAGACATAGTAGAAATCTTTCATGTTCAAGTGTAGTCTAATCGAGTAAAAACAATGCTATCTTTGAGATGGCAGCCACTAGATCCAGGAGAAACAGTTCTTAACATGGATGGCTAAGCACTAGGACAACCAGGCTCAGCGGGATGGGGATATGTACCCAGGGGTGAAAAAGGAAGATTTATTTGGGTGGAGAGCAAGTATATAGGAATTGCAACAAGTATGGAGGCTGAGATTCAAGGAATTCTCAATGGACTTCACCATTGCCAGGAAAGGTATCACTCGTGTGGTTGTTCAAACAGATAATATATCTATTGTCACCATTATCCAAAAGAATAGTGCCTTTCCATGGAAACATCGATTACAGCTGAAGAGCATTAAAGAAATGTTGCTTACCTTAAATTCAAGGATTATCCATGTGTATAGAGAAGTGAATAGCATGGCGGATGAGCTAGCAAAGAAGGCATCTAAAGGACATGAGAGATTATTTTTAAAGAAAGCATCTTTTGACGAAGGTCAGTCCAACAAAAAAAAGCCTTACTACTCCAAATAAAATATTGGGAGAAATGCTAGACTCAAGGATATGATTCTGCTCATCAATCAGCTCTTTTGGAACTCTAATCTTGTCACTCATAAACGAGAACTGTGCAATGCTGAACTTCTCTTCAGTTCCCTTCATCAATACCTTATGCAGAGGGGCAAATATTCTTCCATTGCTCCATGCCTGTAAAAATATTTATGAATAGTAAATTAATCCAACCAAATAATATATTCAGTATGCGACTTAAAAATAGGAACGAAAAAGAGTATGACCTATTACATTGTACGCTTACTTTCTAAAAATGATTGTTTTGTTTGAATTTTTAATTGCAGTGCCATTTGTATTTTTTAAAAAAATAAACTGAACTATCATTTCGCGACTGAGAGAGTGTATTTGTCACCTGGAATGGCTCTCCTGCAATGACTATAAAGATTGAAGAAAACGTAGGTGAAGGGTAATAAGATATCCATTCACCATTTCTCATTTGTAATTCAAGACCACTGACGTGATTAGTATCAACAACGCCCAGGAAATCCTTGTCCACGTGAGGATGAAGACCAACGTTGAGCTCTTCGGGATCTGGTGTTCTATATTTCAGAAATCTTACACAGTAAAATGACGAATTGATCAGATCGTAACAAGATTCGTCGACGCCATAGCTGCTGAAAGCTAACCTCGTTACTGTTGCATCCAATTCGGACAGCAACTTGGAGTATGTGTATGCAGTGTCACTGTAATTAACATGTTATTATAAAATATCCGACGTACAAGTACTTTAAATTTTTAATCCTATAATAATAAAAATAATCCTTTTTTTTGTCACACAAAAATGAGCCAATCTATAACAAGATCTTTTTCAAAAAAATGGAAGACGAGTATATATATATATAGCTTGAATCAAACTCATTAATGTAATTAAAGTAAAAATTAATGCCAAAATGGACCCTAAATAAATGGCAAAACTCGGGTTTTTTTCATGCTGATATGGAAAATAAAGGCAAAACAAAATCGGATTGTATCTAAGATGGGGTAGTATTTTTTGGATTAAAAAAAAAGTCTGCACATTACTCCTTGGTTGACAAAAATGGCTAGTTCACGTTTGACAAGTGAATAATGATCGGTCCAAGTGAAATAATGTTCCATTCTCAAACAAGTGGGACTAATTTGGGAACGAAGATGAGTTATTATATTAAAATGGAGAAAGTAATTTTTTAAGACGAAGAAAGATTAATGTCAATGAAAGTAGCTATATTATATATATTAACGCACCAGAAATCATCATTTCCAGATGGGAACATGAGGTTTGTGAATTCATTGGTTGCGTCAACAGTGGCAGCGTTCTCAATACTAATGTACTCCACAAGTGGCATAGTAGGAAAGTTAGTACCGTATCCAAATCCAAGAATTGTACCAGTATTTTTCACTTTTGTCTCTTTGGGTTGTTGAAATAGGTCTTTGGAAACTTTGAACATTTCATGGTGCAAAATCTGGGGAAGGTTTGTCGTATTTTGCAAGAAAACATCCATATGTTTCTAGGGCTTGGCGGACCTGATCGGCCGTTGATCGCATAGAAATAGTTTCTTCATTGATTTCTATGAGAGGAAGCTTGGTTTGTGCAATTTCCGAACCCATAGTGTCGATGATCGAAGATATCAGTGATATTGCAAGTGTGTGTGTGTGTGTTTTTTTTTCCTTTTTGGTCGTTTGATTTTGGCTCAATTATTTACTGGAATGTACTGTTGATTTCTATTGCTCTTGGTATAATGGCGGATTAATGTTTATATAGATACACATTTTTGTCATTGCTCTTATGTTATACGTACATATTTATGTATATGTATATATTAATAAAGGTAGTACATTTTTGCCATTGCTTTTATTTTATATATCTTACTATATTAGAAACAAAAACCACATTTAAGAGAAAGCACTACCATTTGCCATGTGACATTTCTACATCATATTTTTAAAATAATTTTTGTTTCCATATCTTCTAGACTTAAAAGGCAAATAATGCAGTCCAAATCCACTCCAATCTCCTATTATAGCCAAAACAAAAAAAAAAAAAAAATCACGGGTTCATAAAAAACCCAAATCCCCATCCCCATCTCCACGACAATCGACTCCCTAATCAATCCCTTCTCCACAATTAAAAAAAGAAAAAACAAATTCCTCATCAATCATCAATTGAGAATATGTGGTGAAATATACTCCTCTCCTATTAGCATGTTCAATCTTTTCATTAATGGTGATCAACTACATCCTAATCGGATAAAATTTCGACTTCAAAAAATATTCTCTTTATCTCTCAATGTAAACACAAAGGAAAAGAAAAAAATTCTCGTTGATCTTGCTTCGGCCGTTGTGATGGTGCCATTACAGGTATTAAAATTTAAATGATTTTATTTCACAGATCATTTGTTTGACTTTTATTATTTTTTATTTTTCCCGTTCAAGAATAGTGTTATTACTATTATTTTTATGTCTCCATCCGTTACAGCTACCGTAGTCGTTGTCAGATAATATAATGTGATTTCTTATATGGTTAGCTAGAATTTTTGTATAATTTTAGTTCTGTTTGAATTGAATTGATTAATTGGGTTTTTGTTACAAATCGTGATTTTTAAATTTTTTTTTTATGTTTCATTCAATTAGAGTGGTTTCCTTTTTTTAATTATGGAGTCTCAGTTTTTTTTCGTATATAGTTAGTTATGAAGTGTGTTTTTTCTTTGTTTAATTACTTTTGATTTTGTTTCATACTCCCACTTGATCAATTATTATTATTATTATTATTATTATTATTATTATTATTATTATTATTATTATTATTATTATTATATTTTATTTGCAAATGAAGCGCGTTTCTTTTTTTTTTGTGTTCGGGCTTTCAAGAATATACTTTTTTAGATTTGGTTTTTGGACTTTTTGTAGTTCCTCATCATATAAATAGTTCATGTCACTTTTTTTAACTAATTTATAGGGAAGCCTTTTATGAATTTGAGGCGGAGAGGGAAGGAATGATGTTTGTATGTTTATTTATGTTTTTATACATCATTTTTACCTACAAAAAAAAAAAAAATTTCTCAATTTTTAATGGGCTATCTTTTACTGTCTTTTTTTTATTTGCCATACTGAGGTGAGTTCTTTTTGGCTATACCTCGAAAGCTATGCAAATTTACATTATGTTCATTCTCATATTTGTGATGAACCAGTTTCAACAATTAACCAGTTTCAAAATCATATTTTTGATATTTTACTACCTATAAACTTTTGGAAGAAATAGTTCCAACAATTAAGCGTATACCCTTTGGAGGAAGCTTGCTACAAAGCTATTATAAATCTCCAAAACTAAGTATTGATTTTGCACAACCAATGGAGAACATCAATAAATTATCTTACTAATATTTAAACTTATTAGGATGCTTTTATATTTTGTCTAGCATTTACTTCAAGACATATATTTGATCAAGTTTATTTATATTTAAGATGTAACACTTATAAAACATTTCTAAAATCTTCAAACATTTCTAAAACGTACCGGGCCAAATACAATTTCTTTTTATGCCAAATACATACATTTCTATGATCACACTTATAAAATATTTCTAAATTCTTCAAACATTTCTAAAATATATCGGGCCAAATACAAAATATTTTTTTTTTGAATACAAATATTTCTAAGATCTACATATAGATTGGGCTAGGGTCACGCATTGCACGACCAGACATCACTAGTGTATACAGATAAAGGTAGATGTTGCCCCCCCTCCCCCACAATAATTTGATTAGGGAGGGAACCACCAGACAAGCACTTCATAATTTTTATACATTAGATGTACATTTCATGACATCAATGATTCACACACACAATTTGATTAGGGAGGGAACCACCAGTTAAGCACTTCATAATTTTTATACATTAGATGTACATTTCATGACATCCATGATTCCATGTACATTTTTTTCCCCTGACTTGAAAATTTTCTATGAGCTGCTACCTTTACTAGACTACTACTACATCATCGTATTTGATTAAGGATTGCGGTCGTTCGCAAAAATATAGAAGAATAACATATGCTTCATTGAAGGTTAAGGTTACCAACTAATTGGATCGTATTTGGACAACGAATATGTAAATTTGTCATATTTTACTTGGAACTTGTAAATTGAATAGGTAAAGAGTAAATTATGCGAGATAATTCTTGAGACTTCATTTAATTTGATTCCTACAGGTCAATTTAGAAAATTGGATATTTTTTGATTGGTACTTAATGAAGATGAAATTAAATTTAAATTTTTGTTAAGCTGAGATTTACCGATCAATGATTTTCTGTGCCAAAAAATAAAATAATTCTGGTCCCATTAGAAATTACGTAAGATTAATTTTAAATTTGTTTGGGTGATCTTTCAAAGATCAATCATCCCGTAAAAGAATAAGCTGGTCCCTAATCCTTAATTGTTTGTTTTGTTTAGGACAAATTACTTTAAAATCAACCAATAAAGCATAACCCTGGCCCCTAAAATGGTCCCTAAACAAATTGATTTGTTGGTTTTGTTTTGGACAAATTATTATGAAGTCGTTGTATAAAAGGAACAAAATAGTCCCTAAACTGGTCCCTAATCTTCAATTATTTAGGTCATCATGTACATATTAAAAACAAATGATTTCAGTTGGTCAATAAGAACTTTCTGGCTTTCTCAACCAATGATTATATTCAACTTGTTATTTATTTATTTTCATTATTTGGCTTCCTAGTTCTCTCATCAAACAATTTCAAACTTAAACATAGATGACACACTACAAGAAAAAGGGTTTAAACAACACTTTACAAACGTCTCAATAAACATTTTATAGCCACGCTAATCTCAATAACCTTTCATTCTGAATGTAATCTATTCTATTGTGTTAATAGGTCATGGTAAAACAACATTTACAACTGCTAATTTTCATTTTACTGTTTAATACTCCCTCTGTCCCATAACTATTATCCAGTTTGAGTTTTCATTTCTAGTTCAAATTGTACTAAAAGTGAAATATCAAATTTGACAATAATTTTGGGATGGAGGGAATATATAAAGACGTTTAAAATATGCTGACAATTAAATAACTTTTTCACAATCTATATATATAATACCTAAAGTAAAGACTAGAGGTTAACCAAAGTCATATATCCTATGTGGCAATTTCTACATTTCCCAATTTAAAATGGAGAAAAAAAATGGGATTCTAAGTTACTGTTGACTATGGATTCCTACACCAAATCTTAACAGAGTTTGTGGTAAGATTTGAAGGGTGGCTCAGAGTTGTGATCACCGATCTATTGTAATCTACCTTCACCGGAGATTTTATTCAAACTGGAAGGCAGAATTGATAACGTAGAGTTAAGGTTCTAGGTTTTGTTAGCCAACTAACTGATGAGAACCATAGATTAAAGAGCGTTTTGAAATTCATCTTATAATGTTGATACACCTTTGGGGATTTTGGTAGTAATTTATGATGTATCATTATCGGCATTGACTCAGAGAGGTTCTTTCTATGATAAGTTTGCCCAGCATAGTCATCTCATCAAGGACAGACTTATTTGGGAGTATGCGTCATCTTTGTACTCGCTCTAGTCCTAATTATAAGGCATTTTGATTTGTCATGAATTTTATATAATATATTTTTTGATTAAAAAATATTAAAAATTCATTTTCGCATTCATTGTATTCTCCTAATTATTAGAAAATATTTTTAAATTTTTTTTTCAAAATAAAAAAACATACTAGGTAACTTATGACAAAGCAAAATGATTCTCCGTCCCGAAATTATTTTTCAGTTTGAATTTTCGTTTTTAGTTTAAATTGTGCTAAAAGTTAAATATCAAGTTAGACAATAATTTTGGGACCGAAGAAGTAATAAGGCCTTGAGGGAGTATTTCCTATTCTTGATAAAAAGGCGTTGCGGATCTATGACATTAATGGGTTGTTATGTGACGAAGTTTTGATTTATACGGTGCTTAGGACGGGCGGCGATGATGACCTAGGCGGTGGCGGATGGCCTAAAACCTGCAAGACAGAGCCTCGGGTGTCTCCCAAGGGTAGACGCTCTGATGCTTAAGTCAATAAAGGAATAAAGAGAATAGAGAGAGAAAGATGTGTATCGGGTGTAGAAGGTGTAGAGGATAGGTAGAAGATATGAATTATGGGAGAGGCACCACCTCTTTATATAGAGGTGGTGTTACCTGTTTCCTGAAACCTAGTCGTAATAGGTTTAGGCGGTGACTAAGCTTCAAGGTAGCCGGCCCAAACCCATTAGGGTTAGGGTTTACTTTACGACTCGTCAAGTGCCCCTAGCAAGCCATATTCTCGAGACTTGATGAGAAGAATATGAGTTGCTAAAAGTACGAGGCTGGAGTGTTGACGGCTTATCGACTTCTGTAATGTTGCTCCAGTTCTCGAACATGATGTTCCTGCAAGATGATCAAAAAGGTGATGGTCGACAGAAGAAGGTCCTCGAGGGGACAAGGGTCGACGATGATGGGGT